GAGCAACAGAGTTTTTTGAAGTACCAAATTAATTTAGATAAATATTTAGTCACTTGAGAAGAATGACAGAAAATTTGGGGATAAATCACAAATTAACTGTTTGATAGTTCTGGTTTTGAATCAGATGACTCTTTATTAATCTCAACTGCAGAACAACTCATTCTTTAGATCTGCTATTACGACAGTGCTGTCCGCATACACAGCTGAATTGGGGTCAACTGCAGCTCAGTGATAGAGCAAGGTTGTCCTTCAATCAGAGGATCGGCGGTTCGATCCCCTGCTCCACTAGTCCATGTCGATGTGTCCTTGGGCAAGACACTTAACCCCAAATTGCTCCCGTAATTGCCTGAGGTGTATGATTGGGTATGAATGGTTCGTTAAAGAGTCGTGATAGGTAATCCTGTCATCAGTGTATGAATGTGTGTGAATGGGTGAATGCCATGTAGTGTTAAAGCGCTTTGAGTGGTCATAAAACTAGCTCTATACAAGCACAAGTCCATTTACCATTTCAACACATTCACCCCAGTTTACTCAGAGCTGTCAGAGGTCTTTCCATAGACTGGAGGGAAATCAGTAGTTGAAATGGACAGACACAAAGTAACGGTTGACAGAAAGTGGATACACGAAAAAAAGTACATTCTGACCAAATTACGAAGTAAACCCTGGAATGAAAAGAAAACACATTTTGCTAAATGATTCAGTTCAACTCTGTCTCCAACAAAATGACATTTCCATTTAACTATACTAGACCACACGACAACCTCCCTACACAGACTTCAGCAGACTATTAGATACGTATTTGTTATATGTAAAAAACAAATGTAATCTTTTTTACTGGTCTCTTTACATAAAGAGACCAGGCTGGTCAAGGTTATGCAAGGTGCTTGGACAAACCTTGAGCTGCAATAAAAACGGTTATTACTACCATTTCACATTTTAATTATGATTTAAACTATATTTAGGGTTGGTTAGAGTCCAGTAGACTCCAGTGTATTACAAGTCCACTGGGCCTGAGCATCAGGGATTTTTTTTAATGCATTTAAAAAAGAAATGTACACAAAAATGTGTTATACAAGTACCGAACTCCTTTAAGGATGTAGTTAGTGTGTAGGTTGTGTGTGTAACATGAGCGAGTGTGGGTAAATAGACCCATAAGTAGAAGTTTCAGTAACGTTACAGCTGTGACCGTAGCAGTGCAGTGTACAGTTTGTTGGTGAATAAATGCTCCAACTCATCAAGACCCAAGCCACGTTCCCGTGTCTTTATTGCCACCTGCTTATTAAAGTGAAGGAGTCTTGGATCGCGGACCCTTATATGTAAACTTTGCAACAAAGACAAGTTTGAACTTTAAGATCCGATTTTTTGACAAATGAATATGTATAACACATAAAGTGAAGCCGATGCTGAAGTGTCTTAAACTTCTCTCTAATGACTCCTCTGGTTGTATAGAAGTCGATGAGAAAATGACTCTACTTCTCTCTTGATTCATTACCTCAGCAAACATTGTAAACATGAGTTTATGGTGTCAATCTCTAGTTTCAAGTCTCCTTCAACACAGCATGATGTCCATTCAGTAAATTATTGTCCATTTAGAGTCAAATAGACCATAAAGCAGGGTATGCTTTAGGGCGGGGCTACCTTGTGACTGACAGGTCTCTACCACGCCGATGTCTGTTCTGAAGGTTGGCTGTGGATTTGTCTTACAACTTTAACCATTTCACAGTGTTTTTATTTCATGAAAGTTAAATTGAAACATATTGGTCTCCTAAAAATGTCTTATTCAGTGTTTGGTTATATTTAGCTCCACCCTCTACTGTCACTTCTGGTTGCAAAAAAAAACAACATGGCAATGGCCAAAAGGCCGACCTTAAGGCTTCAAGATGGCAGTCCACAAACCAATGGGTGACGGCGCAGTGATTGCGTGCACTTCTTATATACAGTCTATGGAGATGACGTTTTGCCATCAGTACTAAAATCAGTACAGTCCTTTCAGCTGTTTTAGGCCTGTGTGTAAGTATTTTTACTCATTCTTGTTTCCCTGTATTTGACTCCTGTGGCCAATGTTTCATGAGTCATAATTATAACCTCCAATCCAGTCTGACATACAGGCTGCCAGTAATGCGGGGTGGTTAAAAGACGAGCTTTGTAAATGCCTTAAAGGTTAAATATTAAGAGCAGCGAAGCCTTTATCTAAGCTCCGTGGCATGTTGTTGACTCATCTGTTTATTTATACAGCAGCTCAGATTGTGGACGAGGACGTCTGTTCCTGCTTATAGGAGCAACTCTACATATTTAATGCGAGATCCTGTATTCTCGCACGCCTCGAGTTACTTGTTTGCGTCAACTGAAAGAATAGGGGCAAATTGTTTCATAGTTACACAAGTATCACTAACTCAAACAGTAATGTTTTATTTTCAGGATAAACACAAATTGGCAGAAGCAGAGAAGCAAACAAAGAAGCATGAAAGACATGTTCATATACTGTATATTATTTTGTATCCCCCCTTGCCTCCACTGTCAGGTCACTTTTTGTGGAGAGCTACAGTAGTTTGTCAAGCCCACAGAAAACACCTGAGGCACAGAACGGAATTTCAGTCAGAAGCGAAGTGGAGGGCATGGGAGCTGGTGATACGCGTTTGACTGTAATTGGCTTTGTTACAGACAGGGCTAAGTGGTGTGGGTGGAACACGGAGCTGTGCAGTACGGAACCGACAGGACATTGACTCACTGAAAGCAGTTTGAGGACAAACTTTTTTTAAGGACGGCAGATTTTGGAGACCAAAAAGACGTTTCACCCGTTTCATTGCCTTGGATTCTCAGTCCATGCTTATTATATTTTCACTCTGAAGAAGGAGAAAAAGAAGCAGGCGTGTCGAGATATCAGTGCTCACAGCAAATGAATACTTTTTAACTTTGCTTCAGTGCTTTTCTGCCAAAAGACTTTTTTTCTTCCCATGTTAATTAAAGTTTAAAGCAATAATCTAAATTGCATTTAGGCTTAGATTATCTCTTGGGGATACTACATAAAGCATGTGTTATATAGGTTCTGATTCATGCTCAGATTTAACACAAGAAAACAGCTTTCATCTCTTTTCTTTCCACCTACATCCAGTATTTGTTGTGTCTGCAGAATGCACAAAATGCTGCATAAGAGGCAGCTGGTCAAACAAGTAATAAAATGCGTTGGACCAGAATGACACGTTCAACAGCACTGCCAGCTACAATGTAGCAGAAACACACTGCACATTTATGCTCTGAGGAGACAGGCTCGTCGGGGACTCGAGCTGAGATTTCTGCTAAATTGAAGTTCATATAAATGGCCATTATGATATGACATAACTGCCAACACTACTCCCTTTTCTCCCATTCTTTGGTTGTATTTACAGAGAATTTTACAGGACGTAATAATTAAATCCAGGATCTGTGAACACGCTTTATCTTTGGATTTTAAAATGTTGGATGGACAAAAAAAGGGTCCTCGGTGCATCACATTCAGCATGTACATGATTTGGTACAAGCTATAAATTGAAACTAAGCATTGAGGTGTGACACCTGCAGCTGTTGGTCATCTGATTTGGATATGTGCGCCACGTTCAACAAATCACTGCCTACTCTAGTTCCTGTCCTAAATAAAAGGGATTCACAAGAGTATCCCAATGTGCATCTAAATATGCTTACACTCTTAAAATAGAACTAAATGTTTACCTTACCTTTTGTTAATGAACAAATATTTGTATTGCATCACAGATAGGACACACATATGTGTTTTTTGTGATAAAACAAAAAGCAATCCTTAATAAGGTAATCATCAGCTCACTGCATACATAAATAAAATCTGTTGTTTTTTACATTTACAATTCCTGTAAATTTAAAATCAGGTTCTATTTTTCACTTCTCTACCATAACCAACTTAAGGCCTTTACACATCGGGGGTGACAAAGAAAATGTGATGTACTCCCTTGCCAATATTATTCATCTAGGGCTTTTATTGTGATAGGTAAGAACATGAGGGGTGTATCTGAGACTACAGAGCCTAAATATTGTTGTTTTATAATCCTCATAAACAAAGCTGCAACTCAACCTGTTCGGCACAGCTTTCTCATCACGTAATATTCACGCGCTGTGTGAAAGTATTCATGACATAAACAACTGTTCTAACATATATTGCCCCTGGTGTGTAAGAGCCCTTACTGCAAGTGTTTTTATTGCGATTTGCGATCAATGACAATATCCTATATCGTCTGCTGTAGGCCTAAATGTGCTGCCACGCTGACACATCCCTGACCCTCTCACTGCTGCCGTTACATTAAAAGAACCTCAGGTCAACAAGCAAAGGGAGGCTACGAAGAGAGGCCGCTCTGCAGCTCCAAAGGGCGCAGGTCCTTCAGGCCTGTGGCTCCGGAAACCTGGCTTCAGGAAAGGGGAAGGAGAAGGGCTGAAATTGCTTCACCCCTCACACAACCCACGGCGCTACTTGAAAAGCCTGCCCTCTGGTAAGAGATGCTCCACATGACCAACTGTAGCCGGACATCAGTTCAGCTGCTCATACACCCAAGAAGGTCCTGAGAGAAAGCCTCGCTCACTCTACAAATACAAACAAAGCCCTCACCAAAGCTGTAAGCACTTTCAGGTCTAATTCTAATTTGTATTAAAAAAATACAGTAAAAAATAACTCTAATGTCAGTCCAACTGATAGAATAGCACCCCTGGGATTATCGTAACTGTCTTATTATTCTGGAACCAAATGTTGTTGAAATGTGATGTGTTTAGTGACAGGTGTCCATGTCTGGCAGAGGGTGACAAGTGTGCGTCCCTCTTTCTCACTCACTCACACACTCACACGTACCAACACGGATTCATCTTAGACAGAGATGCGGCCGCTCTCTCGTGAGGTGGCGCGTGCCCACCTGACGGCCAGCATAAGTGCACTTTAGGAACCCTCTGAGGATTCGCGCATATGGCCAGTGCGATGTTTAAAGTGGACGCGGTGAGTCACTTACACTGCTGTTCTGCCCGGACCAGTGCACCATAGCCTGGTTGTGAGATGAATCCCCGGTCAAGGCGAATGTTGAACTGTTGAGTTTTAGCTCCTCTTGCTTCGGACCGGCAGCTCTCCGCTCCGCTCCGCTCCAGCGCAATTCAGAGCGGGTCACTCTGCGTCCAGCCGCTGAGCGCATGTCCTCTCCAGCGTCTTGACTTTGGGCTGAACCGGCGGATCTCCTATTATCATCATCATCATCATCATCATCATCATCATCACTGTTCCTTCTGGCGCGCTTTCTGTAGCGGGTGGCCCCAGCGCTGGTCTTCTGCTCACCACTCGTTTTGACATTGGAAACTTTCATCTTTGCGAACTCGCTCTCGCCAGTATCGCCTTCTGCGTGCCGGGTGTCTGTATTCCGTTGCAGCCTTGGCTCCGCGTATTCCGCCCGAATCTCTGGAGCGCATTCAGCGGAACCTGCTGCGCAACGGAGCCGCCGACTTTCGGCACTTGCCGCCCCGGATCTCACTGCCCCGTCTCCGTGTCCAAAAACTTCTCTCTCTAATCCAGTTGTGGATTCACTTGTGTCGAATTTCAGCATTAATTCCTGTGCACGCCACTTATTCCCAAAATGGCACGACCTGCAAGTTATCTCAGCTTTGGCGGCATGAAAGAAACAGAGCATCATCAAAATCAAAAACCAAAACGCACTGTGCCACTTTGGGCGAAATATGACCTCCCTGTCCATCGCTGGCGGCAGAGAAGAATGCTGAGGATGCAAGACGATCTCTTCCCTCACTCTTCTCTTTGTCTTTTCGGGGTGTAAATTGCCACTCGGCTGTGGAAGAGGAAGTGCTGCGCAAGTTGTGGCGTTGCTCAAATGCAGTGTTGTAAAAAAAAAAAAGTGGTCCAAGTTGAAGGATTTCATCAAATGAAGCCCTGCACGCATGGGGGAGGAGCTGATCCACACAGAGATGGAGGATAATGCTGGACTGACTTTCTCCATATTTGTTATTTCCCACCATATGCTCGGCTATAATTAAAGCAGTCAGTAATATAGTCATTTTGTTCTGCTGCTCTTTTATTTCTCCTCACAGCCACATTTTCTGAGAATCTCATTCTGGTTCTTTTTTTTCTCTCTCTCTCTCTCTCTCTCTCTCTCTCTCTCTCTCTCTC